ATACATGAAAAACTGTCATTTCATTAATTCTAGGCAATGATAGTTTTGGGTATACTATTCGACCGGGAGGTATGTTAAAGTTTTCTATATGTATTTCAACTAAACTAAAACAAAAACTATTTATTATTTCAAAGATATTTTAACAAAAATATTTCTGTTTTTTTAGCATCTGAAATACCTATGCAAATTCGACACGCTACTAGTGAACAAATCGTTCAAAAACCAGTACCAAAGCCGAAACCGATTGTTCGGCAACCAACAGTATCATCAAGAACTTCCTCAGCATCATCAGAACAAAGCGATAGACAACATAAATATGATCGAATACGACAAGCATCATCGTCAAGAAGATCACCGCCGCCGCCGACTGCTCGACAACAAAGACATCGTCACCAACAACAAGACTCAGATGACGATAACGAGTTTCAATCAAAAAGATCACAGCCTCCATCATCAAAACTGAATGATCGACAACAAAGACATCGTCACCAACGGCAAGACTCAGATGACGATAACGATTTTCAGTCAAAAAGATCACAGCCTTCATCATCACAAGTGAATGAACGACAACAAAGACATCGTCACCAGCGACAAGACTCAAACGACGATAACGAGTTTCAATCAAAAAGATCACAGCCTCAATCGCAACTGACTGATCGACAACAAAGACGTCGTCAACGACGACAACACTCGAACGACGATGATAATTTTCAACCAAAAATATCACAGCCTCCATCAACATCACATAATCATTCAAGTCATCAACAACATCGACAGAAGCAACGACGATCACAAGTATCAGATTCTGAACAGTATTATTACCCATCAGGATCTCAATCGATTCCAGTACCTGTGGATCCTATTTATCAACATCAAGTTCCTCGTGGTCGACGAAGACCATTACCACCTAGTAAGTTATATATATATATATTCTATTTTGTTTAAAGAAAATATGAATTTCTTTTTAATTTTTTAGTCTCATACGATTAATTAAATATTCAACTAAACAAAGCTATCGTATTATCCTTCTACAGTTTTCAATCAAAATATGTGATAGAATCATTTTTTTATTATTCGTAAATAATTAGAAAAAAAGAAAAGAAAACCAACGTTTAAAAATTGTTTGTTTTCATTCATTAATGATCTAAGATTCGGAAGAAATATTCGACCTAAAAGTAAAATAAATTTAAAATAAGAATAATACAACTATAAATTATTATATATTTCTTACTTCTAATGATGCATCTTCAGCTAAATCTGTACAATGAACAGCATTTTTCACTTTATCTTTTCCATATAAAGCTCTTATTGTTCGTGGACGAATATGACGAGCAATTTCCTTTAGAAAAAGAAAAACAATAAGAAACTATTTCAAATCTATATCATATATTATCTACATACTGGATCAGCAGGACCACAGAAATCTCGAAAAACTGCTTGAGCATTTTGAGCACGAACTTCAAGAACAATACATGCACCTGACATTAATTCTTCAACCATTTTCTTAAATACAAAACAGAGATATTCAAAAATAGTATAAAAATAAAAAAATTATTTACAGGATATTCATGAACAACACCTTTGTAAACTTCTAGAAATTCTTCAGCATTGACTTTGTCTAAACTATACTAAAAAGACAAAAAAAACAAAGATTATATGAAAATAATAACTTGATATATATGTAATAAACTTACAGTGCCAATAGCAGAAACTTGAAATCCAGCAATAAGAATAGCATTAATAATATGTCCAGCTCTTCCTAAAGATAAATTCAAACATAAATTAAATTGTCTTTAATTTTCATCTAATTTACCTTCAGCAACTGCATGTGGTTTAATAACACAACATGTTGTATCGTTATAACAAGCTGTATTAACACCATATTTTGAACCAAAAAAGAATGAAAGTTCTCGTTGAACACTTTCTGCAGAATCAGATCCATGTAAAGCATTTTTTGTTCCATCTAAATAATCAATTCAATAAAATAATTTAATGTATATTAATAAAATTTATACCTGTGCCAAATCGTGCACGAAGTAAATGTGCACCTTGTTCTCTAGCTCTTTGAGTATCAGTTGGACCAATCATACTTCTCCAACGATTAACTGCATCCGATCCTACAAGTTCCATAGCAACAACTGGACCACTTGTCATAAATTCACATAAACGTCTAAAAACAAATTTCATTGAATTATTCATTTAAAAATATAAATCTTAAGACTACATACGGAAAGAATTCTTTTGTTTTATGTTCAGAATAAAAATACATAACTTCATTTTGTGATAATTTAACCATTCGCATACGAGCAATTGTAAAACCATTTTCATAAACTGCACTAATTATATCACCTAAACTTCGAATTGCATCTGGTTTTATAATTGCCAATGTCCTAAATATATATTCATAGTAAATAAAAATGATTCCTTTTTTTTTTGAATAATTTACCTTTCTTGATTTTTACCAACACTTCGTGCAGTAAATGCATCACCAAAATCAGCTATTTTTATTGATCGAGAAAATATATTTATTGTATTTCCAATAAAGAAATCATTGAATTTTATTGTTTCACATTTCGTACGTTTAAGAAATGCTCGACGAGTTTTAACATCATACTATGAAAATAATATAAATAAGATTAATTTTCTGAAAAGAAATTCTATATACCATTTCAATACTATTATCCGCTGGATAAAAGAGCACTTGATAAGTGCGAGTCATTGATGCTTGTGGATCATACCATTCGCCCATAAAACAGAAACGTTCATCGACAGCCTAGAAATATAAAAGTAGAATATATATAATAAAGAAATACTTGTTTTTCTTGTATTGGTTTCTTAAAACATACCATTGTTTTTCCTTTGACTTGTGCAGTTATCAATTAGAGAGTATCTATGAAAGAACAAACCTACAATTTAACAGACAGCCATTATTACTCTATTACCAAGGTAACAGTTTGCTTAGAAACCAACTGAATTTAATCAAAATTTTATTAATTCTTTTTCTACCTTCAAACTAAAAATATAAGTAATATGTAAAATCATCTAAAATTTTCATTCTCATCAAATAGATGTCGTTAGTTTATTATCATAATACAAAAATAAAATATACGGTATAATACAAAGATTTGGTCTATTTTCGCCGAATCGCTTATCGTCAAATAGATTTATTGATCGACAAAAGCCCATAAAACTGTCTACAATCGACGTTATCAACAACAATTGTATTCTGGATAATGAGTCATGACATCAAATCAGTTGATCTTCAAATTGAGATTACTTTCAAGTCAGACGAGTGTTAATTTAGACAGTTGCTTGATCATTTACGTTTGAAAAATGAATGAATATTATACCTTTCACGTTTAATAAAAGTTAAAGTAAATCTAGAAACAGAGCTCTATTCAACTTGATATGTATATTTATAATTTAAAACATATATCTATATCCATTAAAAAATTAAAATTTTCTTATTTTTTCTCGATAAAATAAACTTTATTTCATAATTATCTATTGATGTTGCGTTAGACATATTACATATTCGTAATTTTCTACTAAACATCTATACAAAGTTTATCTATTGGAATGTAGACGAGGAATGTCGAACAAAGCATACAAATTAGGTTAACGCTACATATCTACGTAAAAATTACGATATGGAATGTTCTTATCAGTGATTCAGAATCTACTCGCGTACGCGACCGACTGGTTGGGGAAATTTTTAATTTTTTTGGATGATTCTCCCACTAGTAATAGGAGAAACTTTTTAATTTTAACGACAGACTGTACACCTCTGATTTTGGACGAGAGTGAAATTTACGATGATAATATCTATCATATATTATACTAAAAATAACATCCGAGTCATTTGATCGTTCGATGTGTTATTTACATATAAACAAAAACATGTTTTTACCTTTATTATTTTATACTTTGCGTACCTTCAGAACCTTTGAGACAACAACAAAATATGAAAATCACCAATGATAAAATATATCATGATTATTTATAAGCATCTGTTTTATAAGCTTGCATGAGCCGAAAAAAATAGCAGCAATCACAGTGAAAAAAGAGCAACACAACAACACATGAAATCGTTATGAATTATTTAATATTAAGGAATGCTTCCTCTTATACATATATAGATATACTAAAGACAGTAAATAGAATGAACATCTTATAGATGTCAATCACTTTATGTTTGACATAGAGCACAATTTATTGCGGATTTTCGTCTAATATTATTAGCCAAATTTTCATTTTGATGAGCAGCAATCGTATGATTACACTGAATACCTGAATACATACGAAATGGATCAATATTGCCTAGATAAAAAAAACAATTTAATTAAAAGTTACTTAAATAAAAATTAAGAATTACCTGAATCAATTTTAGTCAGAATAATCCTCGCACATTGTTGAAAACTTTCAGTTACATTTTCATTCGTTAATGCAGATGTTTCAAGAAACATTAGATCTATAAAAAATTTATTTTCATAGAAAAATTTGTTTTTGAATTAAACAAAAATATATTCTACCATGTTCTTGTGCAAATCGACTACCTTCCAGAAATGTCACTTGACGCTGTTCTTCTAAATCTTTTTTGTTGCCACATAATATTATGACAATATTTGGACTAGCTAATGTGCGCACATCTGTTAACCAATTTGTTATTACAGTATAACTGTCTCGGCTGTAAAAAAATATATTTTGAAGTAGACAAAAGGAAAAGAAAAGACGGAAGTTTTTTTTAATTTACTTTGAAATATCATAAACAAGTAAAGCCCCTGATGCACCTCGATAATAACTACGTGTTACTGATCGAAATCTTTCTTGCCCAGCAGTCTGAAACAATAGTTATTTTTAGTAAAAACATATCTTAATGAATTTTATAATTATATAAACATACATCCCAAATTTGAAGTTTGATATTTCTTTTACCAACAGCTAATAGTTTTGAACCAAATTCAGCACCAATTGTATGCGCACTCTCATTTCTAACTATAATTAATTAATCAATTAATTTCATATAGACAAAAAAAAAGTTTTACATTTATTTTCGAGAAATTGATGTAATATACAAGATTTTCCAGTAGACGCACTACCGATAATTAGAAATTTAAATAGATATTCTAAAAATAAAAAACAAAAACTTAATTAAATTTCGATTTGTATATATTGATTAATTATTTACCATATGATTCAGTAGACTGCGTCATGTTTTGCTCTGTCGATGTAATAAATATAGAAATGATGTGATATTTTCAAAAAGCGATGGCTTTTATGACGTTTTTCTTCCTATCGGTTAAAACGAGAAGCAAATAAATATGACTATCGACATATAGCGACAAATTTCTTTTATTTTTCATTTTTTATTCTTTTGTATTGTAATGAGGAATTACCAGGGTGAACAAAATACAAAACATTTTCATAATGAAGTTACTTCTTAACTTTTGATTTATTTTGACATATTCAAATATTTGAAAAAAAAGGTGACGATAATAATATTTGTTCGAAAATTCGTATGTTATTTTTTCTTTTCTTCATTTTTGGAAGATGTCAACAACATTAATGGAAAAATGTCCGGTTTGTACAACACCGCTAAAAAATTCTCAACAATGGCAACGAACAAAAACTACTTCGCTTCGATCAACTAGCGGAAAACGAAATACTGTTGGACAAGATTCCAAGTAAAGAAAAACAAAACAAACAGATAAT